TTGATTCGGAGTCCGGATGAAGAAGATATGAAATGTCAAAGTTTTAAAAAAAACAACTTTTGGGTTTCAAATCAATGCGGCAAGGGTACTTGACAAGGGGTAAAATGGTCTTTTCAGATAGAATTGGAAGCAACCGTACATACCGTTGGATAGACAAGCAAAAATTAATAAACATAGACTCAAAAATCAATTGATTTGGAGTTGAGACGAAGAAGATATGAAACGTCAAAATTTCAATAAAATAGACTTTCTAGGTTTCAAACATGTGCAGGGCCTGCACATATTTTCGGAATTCAAATGGGGTTTTGAGGGCATAAATGACATTTTTTGAAAAAAAGTTGTGAAGAAACCCACCCCCCCCCCCCCCCCCCGGCCCCCCAAAATCATGTTTTCTACATGACCCTGTCAAGAGAAGTTTTTATTTTTCAAGTAAAATACTCGAAATGCCGCTTAGATCATAACTTTTTCCGGAAAAACTTGAAACGCACCAGATTTCTAGATCTGCGAGTTGTTTTCGGCATCAAAACGATTTTTTAAAAAAAAACACAAAGAAGAAACCCCCCCTAAAATCATGTTTTGTACCCACTACTTGAACAAAAACGAAAAAACACACTATAAAATACCCAGAATGCCCCTAGATTAGAAAAAGGCAAGAGGTTTTAAAAGCTGCTATAAGCATAACAAAAAACTGAACTTTGCGCGGGATTTCCGGCACCAAGACGACATTTTCTGGAAAAACGCGAAGAAGAAACCCCCCCTCCCCCTAAAATCATGTTTTCTAAGTGACCATGTCAAGGTCGGAGTTTATTTCTCGAAGAAAAATCCCAAAATGCCCTTAAACCGGATTATGCAAGAAAATTGTAAAATGAGTCCATAGGAGGCTTAAATCACCAAGGGAGAAGTTTTTCTAGAAAACGACCATGCACGCAAACGTAACATACCTATTAGGACATGCTACAACGGTCCACGGCCTAAAAATACCGCCGATGCAAAATCCGACCCCCAATGGCCAAAAAGGCAAAAATGCACATGAAATGAAAATTTTGAAAACCAAAATTAACCAATGATTTCAAATTACTATTAATGAGACCCTATAAAAGAATAAAAATGAAATTCGCACACTCGATGCAAACATAGTGAAATAATGACTTGTCATTTTCAAGGTTTTCAAAGCATTTCATGAAATCAAGAATTACGTAAGATGAAATAAAAATATCATTGGCCTCCGCCTCATCTCATACATGTCAAATACATTGTAAAGAGTGTACTTAGTACACATTACATGTTTAGAATCAAATATACACATTTTGAGATATAAGGCTACAAGTGGCATTTTCACGCCAAAATTTACAAGATTTTGAAACCTTCAAGTTTACAAATCATCCAAGCACAATGTGAATCTTGAATCTTGATTCCTATACCTGAAAAATGTTCCTACTACGTGGGTGAGTAACATAAAGCTACTCGTAGGAGATGAGCATGCAAAGACTTAACGTTTTACAAACCTCTTAAGTTACTATAATTTAACTCAAATGGTCATGTCACCTAGCGTCTATGTCGAAGGTGAGACTCACGGAGCATCCTAAGCTACCTTAGAGTATTTCTAGCATAAATCACATCATCCATGCAATTTAGGCAACATAAAAGCATGCGATACACATAATGAGATATTCAACATACAAGTATACATACACAAGTATAAAATCAATATTGAAATGCACTTAAGACAAGTATACAAGACACGAGTATACTAGGTAATCTAGAAAGTAAATCGTCAATATGCAAGTGTACATACTAAGTGCGTTAAGCAATATTGAAATAGAATACAACATATATATTCAAGTATAAATTTCTAAGTATACTAAGCAATGTTGACATACATGGCATACAAGTATACAAATCCAAGTATACAAAGCATTTTTGATATATATAAAGCATACAAGTATACAAACACAAGTATACTAAGCAAGAAATGAAGTACCATACGTCCAAGAACAAGTTAAAAGTAATTCACAATTACAACTAAGAATTGAATGCGAAATCAACCAATGACGGAAAGACAAAGGACACATGGTCTCAATAACCAAACAAGTGATCTCGGGTTACTAGCCCGTAAGGAACTACCTAGTGCACACTATATGTTGTAGAGGGAACTCTCATCCCCCGTACTAGAGGCACACTCTAGCCTTAACATATTACAATGTCCATACAAACTTTCCAAAAATCATCAAGTTGTGCAACAAATATACCACATATACATAATGCACATTGTCAATTACCATGCACAACCAAGTCATGGAATACACACAAAATATGCTTTAGGACTTCAAGCTACAATGGCATATTAAATGTCATATAAGTATAATGTGTATACAACAAGTTAAATCATAACATCTACTCATGGAATACCATTTTGTAATCATACACCAAGTTGCAAATTATAAATTAAGCAAGAGTATAACATCAATACTTAATTACCTCAATGAAAGCATACAAATGGAACTTAATTAGATTAAATAATTAAATTCTCAAGATTTCAAAGCAACTCCAAAAATTCTAAATATAATATATGTCAAAGGTCATAGCAAGGCCTAATTTAATTTCAAGTTACAAGCCAATTCTACCTTAGTTACAATAAGGTAAATTAAGATCAATGTCAAGAAAATAATTAAATAAAGTTCTCAAAACTCATTCAAATATTTTCATTTAATATATGTTAAAGAACATGTCAAGACATTATTTGAAATCAAGTTACAAGTTAATTCTACAATAGGTACAACTAGGTGAATTAAATTTCATACAAGAAAATAATTAAATAAAGTTTTCTAAACTCATTCAAATACTTTTAATTTAATATATGTTAAAGGACATACCATACTCATTACATATATCAAGTCAAATGTCAATTTAAATGAATGTAACACTTGAATAGAAATTAATTAACCTAACTAATTAATTTATCTAGAATTTAAATCAATTTCAAATGACTCCAAATAATTATATGTCAATGGTATTATCATGGTAATTACATATATCAACTCAAAAACTTAATTAAGTAAGTGGAACAATTAAATAGAAATTAATTAATTTTAAATAATTAAATCTCTAAATTCTAAAATAATTCCAAATGACTTTATAGTAATACAAGTTATAGATCAAGTCATGGCTTTCAAGAATATCATGTCCTAACTTAATTTCATACAAGGTACTACAACCTATTAATTTAAAACTTAAGTATATGACATGTAAACCATTTATTATAAGGTATAAAAACAATTAAAACACTTAGATTAAAAACCTAAATCACCCCCTATCTCACAAGAGGATTGTTTCTCTTGAATCTAAAGCAAACAAAGGAATTTTTGAATTTCCTTCAAGGGTTATATAAAGGAAGGTGAGGTAAGTGTTTTGTGTTCAAAACTTTTAGGTCTAAGGTGAGTGGAAGGAGATCAAAACCAAGGTTTTAAGCCTAGGTTAATGGTTTCCTTCAATGGTGGCTAGGGTTCTAAGTGAGGAAGAAGAAGTTTAATATGTAAAATGAAATAATAAAAACACTTTAGTGTATTCCTCCACTTACTTGATCAATGAAAGTCAAACATACCTAGTCTTGCACCATCCCCTCACACACATAAAAGCTAGAGTTTAATTAGAAGCCTACACTTGTCGTTAATTCAATGGTTCATTCTAGGCTTAATCTAAAACCTACACTTGTGAACTATCCAAGCCAACAAGTGCACCAATGCTAGGCCAACAAGTGGGTGAATCTCCACCCTCCACATGTCATCATCCAAGGCTTCCAAGTGTTAATCAATGAGATGCTTACAAGTGGACCAATGAGAGCGCGACACTTGTCACACTTTTCGGTAATTACAAAAAGGTCTTTTTTGAAAATATCTTCCAAAATAAATTATAAAAAAGTCCCTAAGAAATAAAATAATTACTTTCTATAATTACGAAAAAACTCAAAAAATAAATAATGTTTCCAAAGAAATTATGCATCCATACCTTTTACAGAAAAGTAAGCCACTAACATGCTTTTCTACAAAAAGTAAAAATACAAATATCATGAAAATAACACATCATGGATGCATGCAAAATCAGAACCTAATCCGAGCTCAAAAAGTGAGGTTACACGAAGAAAATCATTCTCGGGAAAAAGACGAAAAGTGAATAATGTCTAAAAAATGAAAAATGTGGAAATGATTCGGTTCTTAAAGGAAGTTGTCAATCCAAAGGAAAGAGTCTCGGAAACCATTTCCGAGCACTCAATACAATACTGAGTGATGAGTAACCGAACTCAGGAAAGAAAATTCAACGGAAAAAATTTATTCGTAAAATTTTAGAAAAAGTTAAGGAAGGAAAATGACCGGGTCATTACATTGTAAAATGCAATTATAATTTTGGTAATACATTGTATAAAACACTTTTTTATACTTGAAGCAGTTTTAAATTTATTTGGTAATAATGTTACTTAAAACACTTTTATTACTAATTTTACTATATCATACTTACACGAAAATTTTGCTAATTTCCTAATATTAAATATTATAAAATTCCATTGAGTTGGATCAATAATTTATTTATTTATTTTTTTTAAATATGACATATTTTGTTTATGATATCGAATTTGTATCGAGTACTGAAATATAAATAAGTTAACATATTTTAATGATGATTAATAGTTTTAGATATTGTTTGCTATTTGTTTGTAGTAAGGACAAAATTATATTTATGGTAATTTTGAAAACAACGTTTCCTAACTTCAATTCTACCACCACCTATCAGTTTTTTTTTGGTTAATTAATTAATTTATTTTTTACTAAACACATTGCAACGCAATTATTATTATTATTATATATATATTTTTAATGCGAGTTCTTTTCATAAAATCTCACACCCCGCACAGTATACTAGAAATGAGTATTACGTAGTACTACGTATACGATTCGGGGTCCAGACAAATGTTGAGCTTTATTCAAATTTTTATTCGTGTTATCTACAGACCAACATGTATATATACTCGAGTACGGATTCGAGTTTACAAAAATGAACGACAACAGTCTCAGCAGATCGCGTTGAAAGAACAAGCTCAACGTGGTCCCAAATAGCAGAACACCGTCTCAGCAGTCTTCCAGGCGATCGAAGTCGCTGGCCAATTTCGTACAACCGCCATGGAAGGCAGCGAAATCAGAGGAGTTCGTTGCCTTAAAATGGCCGTCACGAACGGTTCGTAGATACGAAGGCCCCAACAATGGCGATCTGTAGACGATGACGATGACGACGACTACGATTCCGAGGTGGAGATGCTGAGTATTTCGTCGGGGGACGAGGATTCGTCTATGGATCGAGGATTCGGGTAGAAGAATCGAGGATTCGGGTAGAAGAATCGAGGGGAGCCTGATTGTTGGAAGCGAGTTGATGAGTCTGAGGTATGAATATATATATATATATATATATATATATACATAATTATGTAATCATATATCGTCATAATCATCGTTAGTGTATTGAGTTGGTATTTCGTTTTTTCCTCACTTTAATCAGTTCTTGGTTATTGATTGGGTTTTCTTGTGGGCGTGGCTTGCCTTTTTTTTATTTTTTATTTTTTTATTTTGTTTTCAGTTTTTGGTGATTGATTGGGTTCTTTAGTGGTTGCGGAGTGTAAATTTTGAGCAAAGTTGAGTAGATTACTACATTCAACTCTAGGAGTTCTTAACTTGCGAGTACCTGGGGACACAAGTGGTAAATCTAATGAAATGAGTTGTGCCCGAAGTTGGATACACTTACAATTTATGAGTAAATACACAAATGTACAGTTATATTAGAATTGGGCACCTGAGGAATTATGAGTGCCATGGTCATTCTTCATAAGATTGAGGTCCGGTCCTCTTTACAGATGCCTTTCTGATGTTCCTGGGTTCTTTTCCCGTGGAAAGCAGTTTGGAGATCAAAGGCCCCTCTTAAGGTGACGCATTTTTGTGTGGACACCTGTATTGGGTAGAATTTTGACTTTTGATAATACGAGGAGGAGGAGACAGGTTGTCGTCAATTGCTGTTGTATGTGCAAAAGAGATGAGGAGACGGTGGATCATCTGCTCCTGCATTGCCCTGTAGCTTGGGATAGTTGCGGTTTACTGTTGGGGTTGTTTGGGGTTCATTGGGTCATGCGCAGGTCCCCTAAAGCTTTGGTGGAGGCTTGGAGAGGGTGTACAGTGGGGGGCCAAACTTGGGATTATTGGAGGGTTGCGCCCTTAAATTCTCTATTATTAACACCCTTTTTTGTTTGGTTATAGGGAGAAATTGTATATCTATGGAGGAAATTGTTGATATTTTGGGCTCTTAGAGTGTTTAGAGGCCCTATTTGACCTTGTGTTTCTTTTGTGGGCTGTGTCCCCCTTTTGGACGCATTAATACAATCTTACTTACAAAAATAAAATAAAAAATTCTCTTATCATTAAACCATCTCCAATGCAAAATGTTATTTTTACATGCCAAATCTATATTTTGAGATTAGCTACAATGTCAAAATGCTATATTTTAGCAATTCTGCTCCAATGATGCATTTTATTCAAATTGCTATTTTTTTACACAATAACTATTATTTTTCAACTACCATTCCCAACTACAATTTTCAACAATCATTTTTTTTTTGTTAGTGTTTGTATTTTATTTAGCTTATTTGCCTTATTATAAATAAATAAAAACATTGACATATATATATGTGTGTGTGTGTATATATATATACAAGCACAACAGACATATACATATATATACACACAACACTGACATATATATATATACAAGCACAACTGACATATATAGACACACAACCACAACACCAAATTGGCAACCCAACACCAAATTGGCAGCTCATGCGAGAGAGAAGAGAGAAGGAAGAGAGTAATAGCAGATTTGACAATAGCTATATGTTGTGTTATATTTGGCACAACATTTGGCAAAGTAGTATTTTGGTAGCCCATTTGGCATGCCATTGGAGAGCCCATTTTAAACCCACATGCTATATTTTGAAAATAGTAGCCCATTGGAGTTGCTCTTAAGAAGCTAGGATTATCTAGCCAGAGAAGTATGGGGTGTTTTTAAGATCTCTTTTTTCCATTTCTTTTGTATTGGATTAGAGCTTGTCTAGTTTGGGGTTTTTTTTTATTTTTATTTATTTTTATTTATTTTTTATTTTTTATACGCAATTGGAGAGGAAACCAATGGTGGCATAGGACATTGGTGAATGGTGCTATAAGATTTTGATTTGAGGATTGTGGGGTAGAGGAGAGGAGAGTTTACATGAGGTACAACAAGAGATATAGACATGCGGATGTTAATAATCGATAATTTCGAAAGGGAGTTTCGGGAAGTGAGGAATGCTTTATAACCTAGGATATGACTCGCTTTTCAAACATTTGAGTTTATTTTGGGATGCATGTAACAACAACCACCACCACCAAACCTTTTCCCCAACTACTTGGAGTTGGCTACATGAATCTTAAGTTTTCATTCCGCTTTATTTAAGGCCATTGCCTCAAACAAAATGCTATCGTATCCTTTCTTGCTAACTCTACCCACGTTAATATAGAATTTAGGGCTAACAGATTAGGAGATTAAATGAAAGAAAGAACTAGAGGAAAAAGAGAGAGGAGAAAACTGGGAACTGGTTTGAGAGCATATCTCATCTCTCTCAGCCCAATATCTTATATATATACATAAGAATATAGAGTACATCGAAAAGACTAAGATAGGGTAATCTAATTACATGTGTCTTATTATTACTTTAACACTCCCCCTCAAGCTGGAGAATATATATCATATAGTCCCAGCTTGGAACAAATACTCTTCAAACAATTATGACCTAGGGCTTTGGTGAGCATATCAGCCAACTGATCTTCAGATTTCACAAATGGCGTAAAGATGTTTCCACTTAATACTTTGTCTCGAACAAAGTGATAGTCAACTTCAATATGCTTAGTCCTCTCGTGAGACACCAGATTAGAGGCAATTTGAATAGCTGCTCGATTATCACAAAATAATGGGAGAGGAGTTCGAACTCCCAGACCAAGTTCATTAAGGAAGTGATGTAGCCATGTCAACTCACTTGATGTATGAGTCATTGTCATGTACTCAGCTTCAGGACTAGACCGTGCTACCACAGTCTGTTTCTTACTCTTCTATGTAACTAGATTACCTCCTAAGAAGGTGCAATATCCTGTAGTGGATCTTCTATCTGAAGGGGAGCCAGCCCAGTCAGCATCTGTAAAGCCTTCCACCTTAAGATGCCCATTTGATCTATACAACAGCCCGAGGCCTGGATCTCGTTTGAGATACCGAATAATTTGAACAATAGCATTCCAATGTGGCACCCTAGGAGCTCCCATGATCTGACTCACTACACAAACTGCATATGAGATATCAGGTCGAGTAATGGTGAGATAGATTAGTTTCCCAACCAGTCATCGGTATCTGCGGAGAGAGAAGTGCAAGGCGGAATTTGGGGAGATTGCAAAGATGGAGGAGATTTCTTACATTTCAAGCTTTGTGGTAGAATGAAGGAGATCTAAACACGAAGCTTTTTCACAGATTGGTGAATATTCACAGACGGGGCAACCATATTGGCAAGATCCGCATTGATGGGAACCTGTTGAGCAAGGAGGAGGATATTCAGAGGGGGATTGTGTCATACTACCAGCAGATGTACACGGAAACCACTAGTTGGAGATCGTTACTTGATGGGATTCAGTTTGCGGCTATCGGAGGATAGGGTTTGGCTAGAGAGGCCTTTTGGTGTTGAGGAGGTGGGAGGCTGGAGGCGGCTTTGAGGAGTTGTAATGGAGACAAATCTCCGGGCCCCGATGGCTTCACGATGCCTTTTTTTCAGCAAAATTGGTAGGTTGTCAAAGAAGAAGTGATGGAAGTCTTTTATACCTTTCATATGCAGGGCGTTTGGTGAGGAGACTCAATGCATCTTTTATTGCCCTTATCCCTAAAAAGGGCAGGGCTATCGAGGCTAAGGACTTTAGACCTATTAGCTTGGTAGGTGGTGTCTACAAGCTTATTGCTAAAGTATTGGGTCAACTTGAGGATCTTCCATGGACCTGTAAAGGATGCTTTTGCACTCATGCATTACATTCTCAACCTTCTCACGAACACGTTTCAATATTAGTACCTGAAAATGACGGACTACCATTAGTACATTTACTAGAACAGGATAAAAAAAAGCAATGGGTTGACCCATCAACTAGATAACTTTAACAAAGCAAGTCATTCAATAGTGAAATATTCAAAATAAGAAGAAATCAGACTGCATATGATTTAACAGCATGGTGGATCTTGTTTATATATTAAACAAACAATTAAAACTTAATGCCCTATTATGTATAATATACCGGCAAATTATTTCTACAGTAAAATTAACTATTTCCTAAAATGTTAAGATAGAATCAGATCGGGGAAATTATAGCAGGTCGGGCCCAACTTGTCTTCTTCACAAAACTTCAGCGATATTTGTTTCCAAAGCATACAAAACCCAAGCCGTAACACACGACTGTAACAACTGGAGATGACAACAACACTGGCTACACGATGCAGTGACACTCCACGCCGGCGATGAGAAAACAACGACCACAACCGCACAACCAAGACGGAAACCGACAACAAGGATCTTAGTGATGACAAAGATTAACAACTATAGCATCCACTGAACAATCTGACAATCACAAACAACTTCATCCACGACAGCTACAACCGACGACAATGAATGATCGACAACGATTACCGAAATGGTGTTGATCAAACCCTCTCTGATACATTGTTGAGATTATAATTTAGGAACTAGGATTTGAGAAGACAACGACTATGAACTTGATGTTCTGATGGTTTTATTCCTTCCCTTGTAAATATATACACATCATTTAAGTATTACAGTGAAAAAGGCTGATATACCCCTAGGAGAGATACTAATTACAAAATATACATTCTAACATATATTTATATGTATATATATATATTAAATGTTCGTATGGAGGTCATTGCTTGGTATAATGGTAAAAGATTAGGTTGACAATCATAGAATGCTGGTTAGAGTCTAAGTAGCCATTTTGTGCAATATTATAATCTGTTAGGTGCGTCTGGTCTATCCTCCTTTCACCACACATTGGTTGGACTAATACTGGACAATTGCCTTTATATGTATTTATAATATATAAAGGGTCATTACCCAGTGTGGTCCAGTTAATTGAGGGTGCTAGGAGGAGTAAGTGGATGTAGACCTAACATTTAACTTTAAATGCACAAAATAGCTGCTCTCAGGATACAAGCTTTAGTTCTCATGCTTGACAGTTCGTGCCTTTACCATTGTATCAAGCAATGACCCCCATATGTTCACATAATTACTTAAGACCTAATTTGGTCAATCAGGCTGTAGATGGTGGTTAACACTTGTGGATTCTTTTATCCAGTTCATACACTATTCAACAATTTTGATGAACTGCTGTGATTTTTATCTCGTGTTGTCTCAAAAATTGTTCTTTCCAGGATGATTCATTGTTTAAGGAGTGAGGCTAGTGGCTACAAAGTCAGAAGGTTCTTGCAGCTTCAAGAAATTCAAGAATCTGTTAGGCTTGCATTTTTTAACTGTTTGCTGGATTTTACTGGTATGATGGATGGCTTACCACCTCAGTTTTATATTCAATAGTGTCTTAGAAATAATGCAGCACTAAGTTATGGAACTTCCATTCGTTGCACATTAGTCAGGTCATCTGGAGCATTTTGGATCCGCGCTTGTCCAATATAGGTCAAACAAAGAAAGCCCTCATTTTCGAAATGGATTTTCTCATGAACCACAAGAAAAATCATCTGATCCTCCCTGAAAATGTCATGCATCCACTATCCACTTCAATAGCTGTTGATGGTCTTGAGTAATATTGGGTATAACAAAGATGAACTTTCTTGTGAATTGTACAACAAATACAAGCATATCTGGCTGCAGCCCAGGTTTGTAGTCATTGTTTGGCTTTCTTTCTTGCAGAGAAATTATATTCTCTCTGTTGTAGAGGGATGTTAATTATTGATTACATGATTCAGTAAGCTGGATCAACTTTGTGATCTGGGTGAGTTTGGCTACAGACCTCATCTTTTGACTAATGACCAATTAGCTCGGTCCATCCTTAAACCTACCTTTTATGGCCTTGCTAATTTTAATGGTAAAACTTTTATCCAAACATGAGTTTCTAATGACAAGGGCAAAATCAGGTTTCATGTGAAATAATTTATTTATGGGTCGATAGTCATGAGTTGGAGGAGTTGGCGTTTCATCATTCTTTTTGACTTTCTTTTCTTCATTGTCTTTTATTTTTAGCTGGACAACAGTTGTTATGATGCAGCCTTACCAAGAGGACAAACAATTGTCGTCTAAAGCGAGAAAGAAATAAAGGAAGAAGGAAAAGAATGCTAGAACAAGGAGGAAAACAAACGATCAAACAGTCGTTGCTGCTAATCTATTAAAAATAAAATTAATCACCACCAAAGCTCGTTGATAATCCCTCAAAACTGACCAAAATGAATGCGAGAGCAGAACTTCTTGTATGTTGGGTCTTAGTCCGCTAATATAGTGTGCCACAATCTATTCTTCACTCTCTGATAGGTCTTCCACGCTACGGCCTCCTTGCCTCACATTATACAAACGTCGGTTTATCGTTTGGACATAAATAAAAGGCAAAAATTGTTTCTTCAACTTTTTCTTCATCTTCTCCCATTCTACAATCTTTGGCTTACCTGTATGCTTTCGGGTAACCTGTAATTTCTCCCACCATGTCAACGCTTCACCTTTTAAACGAATAGCTACGAGCTTGACCTTCAAGTGTTCTGGTATCTCGTGGTATTCAAAAATTCTTTCAGTGTTATTTATCCAATCGATAAACTCCTCTACCTTAAGACTCCCGTGAAATTCAGGAATCTCAATTTTGATATTTGCCTCCCAACAATGGTCGATCCGATCGTCGGGTGATCTATGGCGACGCGAAACATAAAACGGATGTTTCGCGAAAGTTCTGATGTTGGACAAGTCATCCTACATCAGAAAGTTGTCATCAACTAACGGGTTGATAACATGTTGAGCCCATTGCTGGTTCAACATCTCAACTTGTCTCCGCAGATTCTCGACTTCGTTTGTGACTTGTTGGGGTAAGGGCTTGGCTGGATCTTGCATCCTACAACGTTCTCTTCGGTTGTTTCCGTAGAAGCATGATTACGCAATCGGAAAGCCGAACCTAAAGCTCTGATACCAAACTGATGCAGCCTTACTAAGAGGAGACTATCAAATCGTCTTCACAACAATTATAAAACGAGATAAAAGAACGATGCAAGAGAAAAGGAGAAATTGCAAAGAGTTGCAAAGCAAATTTTATTTCCTATAAAATATAATAATAATCTCTTCAACTAAAACTGATTGAACCCTAGAAATTACCAGGCTTTATATAGAATTTCTTTCTCCCCAATCCTAGCCTTATATTAGCTAACTTCCAAATAGAAAATAACACCAAAACAGGAAAGCTGCTGAAAATCAGAAAACTACTCAAAAAGGAAAGCTGATGAAAATCAGAAAACTACTCAAAATAAGGAAACTTTCAAAATATGGAAAGTTTCTGGCCATTTCAGACGACGCTTGGGGTGTTTCGGTTTGCCGAAACTTTTGCTTCTAGTTTATGATCTTTGCATCCTTGGGCCACGTAGGCCCCACTTTGTGACCTTCCATGAATGGTTTAGGGTTCATTAGTGTATGTTTTGTTATTCTTTAGGTGTGTTCGTGACCTCGTTGGATGTTTCATCCACGTTTATGACCATTTTACCCCTTTGCTTCCGCATTCATGTTCGTTGTCACTATTTATCCTTAGCTTCCACAGTTGCATTCGTGTTCGAGTCTTGTCGACATCATTCATGGCTCCCTTGTTGTCTTAGAGATAGTCTTCAACTCTAATGATGTATTCTTTTGTGTTTGCTTCCGCATTTCGAACTCGTTATCGGGTTGGGTATTCGGTTTCATCCTTAATGCATCGGATCATGGGATTTGGGGCGTTAAGCGTGGTATCAGAGCGTTTGGTTTTGAAAACTGTTGAAAATAATAAAATATAAGTGAAGAGAGAAATGGAACAAGAAGAACACAAAGATATTATGTGGTTCAGCCACTAGGGCCTACATCCACAGCACAAAGAGCCCAAAGGGTTACATCACTTTTATTATAATCTCTCAACTCATACACAATACAATGATGGAGGCTCCTTTATATAAGAGAATAAATGATGAGAATGGAAAGAGAGATAAAATAGGAAACAATGAGGATTTTTCTCCATTGATTCCTTTAGTAATGCCAAATCTTCAATAATAGGAAATAACATCAATTACTGAAAGATTTTCCTCCACTGATTCCTCCATTAAATCTTCAATACTTCCCCTTAAGTTGGAGCATAAATGCCCACCTTGCCATTAAGATGACGAGTAACAACAAGTGTGAATATTGAAGAGAGAAGAGAGAAGACGAAGAACAATGCTAACAAACACACCGACAACACAAACAAGTCAACAAAAAATTGCCGGAGACACAACAAAGGCGAGGACAATCCTACTGAACACACCGGCAACCTAAACAAGTTGACAAAAACTGCTGGAGACACGGCAAAGATGAAGACAATGCTACCGAACACATTGGCAACCTAAACAAGTCAATAAAAACTGCTGAAGACGCAGCAAAGGTAAAGAACACCAGCCCATACATGTAACGACCCTAAACTGAAAACCAATTATAAAAAAAATTCGGCATGACCTCTGCTAAAAAGGGGCATACAACAACCTGCTTAAATGAAAAAAAATGCAATGGCCCTTCTTGGCCCTTCAAGACTTATCCAACCTGTCCTAACACACAATACAAAATATATATATATATATATATATATATATATATATAATACATTCCCAAAACAACAACATCAACAACCTCCACAAGATGACCCATCATCATCATACCATTCAACACAAAATATTTACATAGTCTCACTTCCCTTCAAAATACCAACAAGAGTTAAAGTTTACAATACATGACCATGGCTTGTAAAATGTATACACTTCACTATGGTTTTGAGACTTTACAAAAGTGTAGCAAATATACAAAAGATAGCAAAAAAAATATATTCCTAGTCCTCCTTAAGTTTGTGAAGGGTCCGCGTCTCCTACTTCCTTCCCGAGTCCTGAAAAAATGTTAAATGTAATGGGGTGAGCAAGTTGCTCAGTAGGTGGTGCTTAAGACACACCTCCTGTGGCCCCGTGAATCCAAATAATGAATAGGAATAGAGGATAGGGGTCATGCTATGCTGGAAAAGAATACAACATAAATTCCAATTTCAAATAAACAATGCCATGCCATGATATGCAATGTCATGTATGTTGCTCCCCATTTTTAAAATTTAAATCTATCGCTTTTCAAACTGTTAATATAACCCGTCCTTTGGTGATTCCGTAGCAACACGAGAGAAGGATTGGCTACCGTCCTTGACCCTTGGTACCCCCGCGGCGTTATTTGGGGCTCAGCTAGCTCAACCACGCTAGGGTGATTTCCCTAGTTCTCTTTAGGTTATATTAACACCATGGCCCTTTGGTGATTCTGCGGCGACCGGGTTTTCTCAAAATCATTTCATCAAAATTCTTCCCAAAAATCCCTTTTTCTTTTATTTCAAATAATTTCCCTTCATCCATACCCAATGGAATACATACATGTCTCATACTTTCAATGCTATGATAATAAAGGATTTTCATACAACACAATTAAGCATGCCTTACAAGAAAATCTAAAAAAAAATTCACATGTTTCCATACATCATTTCTAGCAAGTTAACACCCAATAGACATAAGGAATCAACACTTAGGCATGTTTTCCATGTAAATCAACAAATACACATAGTTGCATGCTTTATATATACAATTAAATCATTTAAGAGACAACCAACTCAAATTAAGCATGCATAACAACAATTTTAATAGAAAAATTCACAAAGGTGCAAGATAGTGGGAATTAGAGACCCCTACCTCAAATTAAGCTAAAAACCCCCAAATGGGTCTCAAAATCGGAACCCCTAGAGTGCACTAAAACTGAAATTGCTTGTATGGATGTGAAGATCTCGCCGTACTCTTCGAATTGCCGCAAACAGCTTCCAAAAATTCTAAGGGTTGAGGGAGAAATCAAGGTTTAAAATCTTGAAGTGAAGAAAAAGAAAAAATAGAATTTGAGTGGTGAGAGAGAAAGACCAGCGGGGAGAGAGAAAAGATTGAGACCAAGAAGGTGGTCTCATGACCACTTAAAGTGGTTGTGGTCCCCACCTAAAAATTATTTTCTTTTTTCTTTTTCTTTTATTCTCATTTTACATCACATATATATATGTACACATTAAATAATTTCACAACCTTATATAGCACATTAAACAATATGAATATGATGCAAATGGACCCAACTAAAATTCCCGTATGCAACAATTTCAGCATCAGGTCCCACACGGGACCGTTCGGCCCGAAAAACGGAAAATGGGAAAATAGTCACCCTTACATTTAAAAGAGTTCTGGCACACCCCACAGTGTCCGGTACGTACAACGTGAAAAGACAAAAATGCCC